CGAAGAGTTCAATTCAGTCGATAATATCAGAGTGGACATCGAAGGTATTCAGTCATGCACATAAAGATGATAATTTGTTCAAGCTTGTCGCTCTTTTTGGTTAGTCCTTTTTCAATTATAAGGATTTTGTTAAGTAAACCATTTATATTTGAAAGAGTCTAGCCAAAAAGAGCGACAAGCTTGACCCTCTGGTATCATGATGTTAATTTTTTATTATCTTTATTTGTTTCATAGATACAGAGTTGTTTACAATGTTATTGACCCCTACTCATCAGTTGGAAAAAATGAAGACAGGAGTAAAAGAAGAGTGGAGAATGAAGTGGATCGTGCAGAAACAAATCATGAAACTATCACTGCAAAGCGATTGAAGACCCAGCTAATATCTGCGAGGTGAAGAAGGAGGCGAAAATGAATATACCGATAGGATGTGCAGGTGGCTCGAAGAAATTTGTGAAGATGTTCCAGAGGAGGTCAAGCAGAAACTCGCGCATTATGTTAGCAAATCTGAACAAACCAATGATGAAACAGAGTCTTTGTTGGGAACAATCAATCAGCTTACCTTTAAAAAGCAAGCGCCATCGGTCACTGAATTATTGCCATCCATCACAGCAAAAACTACCATTCATACAGCACACACATATATCCTGGCTGCATCATTACTAGCAATCGAGATGATGTTGGTAATCCAAAATGAACAAGAAGAGAAAAAAAAAATAATTGCTCAATGAAACGAATAAATAAGTCTATCATAAAACAACAACTGGTCAAATGCAGAGAAAAGGTGAATAGAATATAACAAACACTAGTACGAAAAGTACGTTGTATTAATATACTTCCTACAAACAAAAAAAAAAAAGAAAATTTGAGTCAAGGTCCTTTGGCTATGAGAGACCAGGTTGAGAACCATGTTCTACTTGACATACTAACGCGCCACACAGCCCTCTTGCCATTAACGAGGAATCCGTGATCCATGCAATAGCAGCCTTCTCAAAATCCTGAAAACACACTGTTTGAGCCAGTAGGACACTCCAATGCAGTTGTTAAGACCTTAATTATGATTAAAAGGAATTAAATAAACCAAATCGAATATGACTATCTCCTTTCTTTGGCTAGTCAAGAGACAAAGTAAATCGTAAAATGAAATTAGATTTTTTTATTTTAAAAGAATAGAAGCAATATTCTGTAATTTTTTTCTACGTCATTCACTCGTAGTATGTCATTGAATCGTTGCTGGCCGAGTTTGTGTTGCTCAGTCAACCGCGTATAATGCTCAATCTGTAGTCAAGAATGGGCTAAGGCTTGTCGCGCATCCAATTCATCTAAGGACTGTCTTGCCTTTTTTCTTGACCCCTCTTCGATTCAGGAACAAGAGGTACCTTGCTTGGGAATAGAATTGGAGTTCTCTCTACGCATACAAAGGAGGGATCTATTGGACCAATCACCATTTGTGTTTGTACATTCTTCCTCCTCAGATCCGGCTGCAAGCAACTTTTCCATTTCATCTTCGTCATAAGCCCTCTTTGTTTTTAATAGTCGGGGTGCTGGCGGTGGCTGAAGAAAAATACTTTTTTCAAATGTCTTTTTATACTTTTACTCTTTTACTAATGTAACATTTTCTCCTGTTTTTTCGCTAGACACTGTTCTACTAGTAAAAAATATTCTCTCATATTGCTTGTTCTTCTAATATATGATGAACAGATGTTATTGATTTTTCCAACCTGATGGTTTTTCTTTCCTTCACAGAAAATTAGGTAATTTTTTTTGCATTTCCTATAAATTTAATTTTATTTAATGCATGCTTTTCATTTAAAAATAAATATTCAAAGCTTGATCAATAATAGGTTGCTTGTCCAGAATGTTCTCCTATCAAAAATATCCGCCGTGTCCCTTTGGTTGTTTTGTTTACTCACCAATTTCCGTCGGTTATGGATCTAATTTAACTTCATGTTTCGCCATCCTATCTAAAATAGTTGTTTTCTTACCATGCATGAATATTTAGCCTTTCGCCGTTCTCCTATCGCTAATGAGTCATCTCTCCTCCATAGGGTCGATTGTTTTAGTCTCATGATTAATCCAAAGGAAAAAGAGATGGTATGTATTCTTACCCTCGTGACAGAAAAATGGGCCACAAAAGACGCCGAGATTTGGATGAAGAAGAAAGGACGAGAAGACCCAAAAGACGACTTGATTGTGGAGGAGGTGAATCGGAAACAGAGAGTAAAAATGACAGTGGTGCAGAAGGCATTAGTTCGGACGAAGGCATCATCGAACAAGAGAAGGATGAAGTGACTTTTTCCGACGATGCAGATCCACCCTTCATTTTAACAAGACTCGAACTGGAAGAGATAGAAGAGGAGCAAGAGTGCTTAGAGATCAGCAATTCCTTAAAAACATATTGACGGTATTGAGAGCAGATGGATAAAACAGACAAACCGTCTCGACATGAAGGCAAAGATGTTGCGGTTGCTCTGGCAAAAAAAAGTGGAAGAAAGAATAAGGCAAAACTGAAGAAAGAACGGTGTGAAGTTTCCGAAAAGTATTTTCAAGAGAAACTTATTGTATCACTGGAAGTTAGAGAAAGGACAAGAACTTTTCGAACGGACAATTAAAGAAATAGCAGAAGAGATAATTAAGGAGTATAGTGATATTATAGAGTTCGGAAAAAATATTTCACAAAAGTATCATTTACATCGTTATAGTACATGTATAATTTCATTTCAAATGGTAAACTTTGTATTAACCTTAAATGTAGACGCGTCTAAAAAGCCCCTTAACGTTTAGTACTAGAATTCTGCTCTACATGGATGATGGGAGAACGAACATAAAAGGATCAAAAAGCAACGTCTCTATGAACGCTTGGCTGCCACAAGCCAGTTATTATTAACCCTTTGGGAAATTTTCTCCTCCCTTTTTCCCAATAAGGTTTTAATAAACGGGAAATATAAAAGGCGAGATTGCAAAAGAAAAGAAAAAAAACAGACAGCAAAAAATTTCTCCCTTCTATCCCTTTTATCCAAACATAAGTTGAGTATTAACATCAGTATAGAAGATATAGGTTTCCGAGTGTAAAATATAAAAATATAGAAATAAAAGAAATAAATATCGATTTTTTATTCAACGGGTTTTTCATGAATGTCTTGCCAATGTTCTTTTAGAACGCCGTAGTCGTTTTTTACTCTCGGCAGTATTGTCATTCTCACTGTCATGATCGAGTCGATTCATTTCTGTTGATTCGAAAAGCTTTGCCAAAGATTCAAAATTGTCAAACAACTTATGAATGTTCTCAAGCTTTGTCAATGTCACGAGCCCATGCTATGAACCTTTTTTTGACATTTGCTCTTGCCATTATGAAGCTTTCGAGTCGGCAAACGCTGGTGCAGGAGAGTGCAGATACATCAATGAGGGCAGAAAGTGGTTTTCCATCAAGTAGACAAAAAGAGTGAACGCCTTATTTTTGGGGTCTGCGTTTTTGTCGGAGGATTTTTTCCAACATATTTCAAGATATCCATAGAGTATGAGGAAATAAAGGATGAGAATTGAAAGTTTTTGTTTCGTTTTATTTGAAAAGGGGTTTATTTAAAATAATAACAAAGAACTACTGTTCTTGTTCGCTATTTATCATGACATGGCGATTGAACTTCTTCTCTATTTAATCTAAAAAAAAAAAAAAAAAAAAAAGAAGAATCTATTAACTCATTAAAACAACAAATAAAGGATGTCATACCTCTTTTCAAGAGCGTCTATCCTTTCACAAAGCATTTAATTACTGCCTCATGTTTTTCAACAATATCCTGTAATGAATGGCCATCTGAACATGTATCGGCATTCGAGGCTGGAGGGACCGGCGGAGCATTATTTTCGGCAACTTTTACAGGTCGTCACAGATGTACGGATGAAAAAAAGAAAAAAAAAAATACAGGGTGAGAAAGGCCATGTCTGACATGGGATCACGATGAATGAGGAAAGGTTCAGTTTGTATTTTCTAACTCGATCTCAACCAGGATGGATAAGTGATAACGATTTAAATGATCATGATATTCACGAAGTAATTTTTCTTCACCTTTTTTCTTTTTTCCACGAGTCCTTTGGCACAAAAGAAAAAAATGTATTTGTTGGATTCACTCATTGTGGAAAGATAAAAAGAAATATGAAAGAATGGTCAAGAGGAAAGAGACAAAGAACAAAACCAACACGCAGCGAGGGAGATGAGACACAAGAGAATGGAAGAAAACACAAGAAAAAGGAAGAGACACAAACCAAAAAAATAAATCTGAGCATGCAGGGGAAGAGACACGGGCCATTTTTTGGCAGACGTCGATTACGCCTTATCAGCGGCCCAATCGATGTGTCAATAAGTGGGCCAAATACCTTAAAGTTGAAGCCAAAGATAAAAATATTTGGTGTACGTGTTTCTACTTTCAAATGTGGAAGGCTGTACATGGCTAACGTCACTTTTCTGAGCCCATGTAGCCCAGTTGCTGTAATGAAGCCCGGATGGCGCATTTAAAGTGAGTTTAATGATCTGATATCTTTTTCAGAACAAATTAATGCAGCCAAGTTTCGCGGTAAATGCCTTGCGCTTCAGTATCATGATTCGATTCGTATTTTCAGTTGTCATGAAGAAAGTTTCAGTCTTCTCTTTATACTACCCTTTGTGTCCATAGCACTCTCAAGCTCATTTCTCGTATCAAAAAGTTCGAGCTCGTATTGTGTGAACCTGGTAATCAATGCCAATTTATGTCGTTTCAGGCTACCAGGCCCGCTTATTCATAAAAAGGCAGCAACTATTTATTATTATTCTACATAGTTCTTCAGATTGGGTGGATGCTACTACGTTGAATGGTGTTTACGTTATAGAAGATATTATGTCCTTACGACAAATTTGGTAGAACATGCTCCGCATGCATCGACATTTGTTGCTGAATAGATATCATTTGCCCAAAAATAGGTCCCGCAATAAGGCTCGTGACGTGACAGCCAGGTTACCCAACTCGACCCGAAGCCTTTCTGACTAATATACAAATATAGATTAAGGTATAGATACATAATGTAAACTGTTTATCATTAATGAAGAGAGAGTGTTTTAATACAATCAATGCGAAATATACAAAGCAACAGCTATTTAAACAGATCTGCAAAATTACAAGCCGATATCAAAAAATATGAGGGGGCGTTTTGGATGTTCCTTACAATGTTGGATAAAAAAAAAAAAAATAGAATTGCTGTTAGACAGTCAATAGCTCATTGTCAATTCTTTGAGTATTGCCACTCCTGTCCTTCCAGCGAGCACTCATCCGCACTGTATTAAAATCTCTATCGTGCCAGAAATGCACCAAATTCACCCCTTGCTCCAGTTCCGCGTCGGTTTGCCAGTGTGGGTGCTCAAAATAGTCGTCCTCACGGGTAAAATGAACAACCCAAGCTTCTTCTGCTGAGAGTAAGCGTCTGTAAGTTGGCGTCTTGCTGATATGGTCTTTAATAGAAGTTTGACTCCCTGTAGCCAAAAGCTCGATAACAACCGTCGGCTCTCCGGCTCTCCTGCTTTCTTGATGACAATATCACTATATTTGTGGTCCTCAAGCTCACGGAGGTGCCACTGACCAATGATCTCATATTCTTCTGCTTTGTTTAGCCAGTTGGTGAGAACCCTCATCAATTCCGTGTCATAGACGCTCTCTCGAGGGACACTGACATTGCAGTTGCCCATAACCTTAACTGTTTCCCCCGATCCTTTGTATGATCGACTTCCCGCCTGCATAATCAAGTTTTTATCGAAAAATCGAAGAGCAATCTTCATAGTCTCCAGAATATCCAATAATTCTCCTTGGCTTTCCTTTGGGGGTGACTCCGAAGGAGCGTGGGGATATTTTGATGGGATAATATATCTCCTCACAAACGAGTCAATGAATGCTGAGGCCATACAGTAGTTACTGCCACCAAGACTTATCAGCACCCCTTCTGCAGTTAGGAAATCTGCTAATTTCCGTTGCTCCATGTCTGAGATAGATTTATCGCCGAGATATCCAATAAAACGTGTTCGGAGAAGATTAACAGCATCTGTAGCTGATTCAGTCAATAATGAATCGGTCATCCTTCTGAAAGTATGGTACGAAAGCATCCTCTCATTCTGATTGTCTGTGGAGAAGTCCTGCCATGTATCGTAATCGAGACAATTCGTCGAGTCGTTGACTTTCGAGCGAAGATTCTCATGAATGGAGCGTCCACAAAGACAAATCATTCCTGGATGACTATTGACATTGAGCACAATTCATTGTATTAGAATGGCACATCAACTCGTGGAGATGAGCATTGCTAACTCGTGATTTGTAATAGCATTCAAAATTCTCCTGTTCACGTCATGCTTCGCAGTGTCAACATAATAGACTGATTTTATATCAATGAATCGGATCGCTCCATTAACAGTCCATCTCTTCTTTTTCAAAACTGGCGATACTAGAAAAAAAAAAAAAAAAAAAAAAAAAAAAAAAAACAGCAGGACCTGTCAGAAGAGAAAAATAAAGAATCGGTTTCCAATCCTTAAGGGAGAATTAGCTTACATAGGCCATATAGGTCATCGGCCCTCCTTTTTGTCTCCGAGTCTGTTGGTAAAGCAAGCAATGATAGAAATTGGCAAGAAAAAAAGAAAAAGAAAAAGCATCAGAGGTAGCCATCAAGCACATGTGCGGTGATTAACCTTTTGAAAAAAGTAGAGAACAATTAAACAAATGAGTCTTACTCGAAGTGGAAGTAGACGGATCTATACCAAAACCAAAAATAAAAAAAGATGGATCATTAGACATAATCAATGATTACAACAAGCGTCACCACATGGCAAGTAATTAAATGCTTGCATGCCGCAGTAACAGGCACAATTAGAATTTAACGGCTTCTTACCTGCCGATGGCCGCTAAACAATGACGTGTATGGTTTTCTTGGGTGGAGTTGGTCCAAAGACGTCAGAGATCTCGCTTGTTGAGTCTTCAAGTTCCTCCAGCTTCTTCTTTGACTCCTCTTCGGCAGTCAGATTGTTAAGCGCGATTTGTCAATTTTACACACATCCGATACATCCAGATAACACTCATCCATCCATCTGAGCTGCTTTTTCACCTTATCTTTCAAGTTGTGTTCATTTTATCTGAGGATTTTGTCTTTTATTGACGAGAGTACTTTTTTGACCGCAATCCTCCTTTTTACTCATGCTAACACGCGCGTTCGCACTGTTATTAATCATTTTCTAGTATCTCTATCTCTCTCTCTCTCTCTCTCTCTCTCTGTCTATTTTATATTAAGGCAAGTTTCATCTTTTATTGTATGACTCAAATTAGCTTGTAGACAAATTGCAGTCGCGGCTCTATGAGCTGCACACGGATTTAGTTCGCGGTCCGTCAGCCAGGTCGACTGTGTCTATTTTAGTTTAAATTTGGTCATTTATTTTGTTGTAAATACAGTCGCGGCTCTATGAGCTGCACACAGATTTAGCTCGCGGTCTGTCAGCCAGGCTGACTGTAACAACGTTATCCTTAAGAAGCTTGTTTCTTTCTAAATTGAATTGTACTGACGAAAAGTTCATTCCATTCTTGTAATTTCGATATGGCCGCCAAAGATTTCTTTTTAGAAAATCCGATTACCAAATGGGAAAAAAGATTCATCTCGAGCAAAGCCAGACTATATTAATTGGGCGTTGAATAAAAAAAAGGGCGAAGAGCACGTTACTTTTCCAAACTTTGTAAGAGAGTTTGGCTACACGGATAGAAACTCTGCAATCTCTGCATACACCAATCTACTTCAAGTGTCACAGATAGAAACTCGTCGGAGTGAAAGGCTTATGGATGACTTCACAGAATTTCAAAACAATTCTCTTGAACTACTTTGGAGTGAAGTTGAATCCAGAGTTGACACCATCGTTACGTCAAGAAAACAGGTGTTCTAACAAGAGCTGCAGGGCTCTAGCAAGCCATTCATGACTTTGAAAGCTTCAGTGGTAAGTTTTTTTTTTTTTTTCAAAAAAAGACAAATGCTGTCTTCATTAAATATTTGTTCATTAAAACTCATGTGCCTCCAATAATAGAAACATTAACGTCAACTAAACAGGATCAAACAAAGGTTTGTATAAATGATGAGGACAAACTAGAACCAATTATTATTATTATTATTATTATTATTATTATTATTATTATTATTATTATTATTATTATTATTATTATTATTATTATTATTATTATTATTATTATTATTATTGTTATTATTATTGCTGCTGTTGTTGAATTATTGTTAATATGTTAGTGGGTTGCCATTAATTTAATTTCAAATATCTGATGCTAGGTGTTCATCGGAAACGGACAATAGAGGAGATTGAGAATGAAGAGGACCAGGAAAACGAAGAGATACAACAATTTTCGACAATGAAACAACACAGAAGTTCGAAGTTGATGATCTTTCCTGTGACAGTAATGATGAAGTCTTTGAAGATAGTCTTGGATATGAAACTAGAAAAAGTAATGTGCAAGACTCTGAGTTCATACATCCTCCGCCTGGAAAGAAACGAAAAAATCCCAAAATGTAAGATGTCAATAGCATTGAAGTGACCCAAGACAATTAATTTTGATGATATTAATCAAATTTGGACAGTTCGATGATAATAGGAGAATTTCATTTGGAGAACGCTATTCTGATCTGAAGAATAAGTGGCAGCTCAAATCGGGAAAGATTGTTGAAAACGTTCTTTACAGGGCGGGGATGGAGATGAATGACCTCCAGTAAGTAATTTTGGTTATAGGTTTGACCCCCTCATCTTTCTTTAGCAAGCATTTTTTTTTTCTTGTCGTAATTATTCAATCGACTAACTCTTAACAGTCCAATCCAGTCTTTCATGATCGATTTAAGCGACAACAAAACCCGATCACTTTTTTCCAAGGAGGAATGGAATGAAATCGTCAACAGCATCCATATACTCCTTCATTTTCTAAAGAAGCGTTGGAATATTCTAAAATATTTGATTCCGTTTCTACAGCCAAGGATCTTGAAAGACTGTTGGAAAAGCGCCCCAGCATGTCGAATGTCGTTTAATTCACGAATGTCTCTATAACTGGTAAGTCGCAATACCCTGTTTTTGATTTATTTTTTGGATGTTGCTATTGAACCTCCATTTTTTTTTTTTTTTTTAATTTTACAGGCTAAGCATATACGAAATGAACAACCCTTCACCGTTCACTTTGCATGATAAGTTGTCAGAGCATTGGTGGATGAAATCTGCATGGGGCGTATGCACCAGTTTAGCTAAGGATATACCTGGATGTTTTGTGATTCCAGGAGAAAAGACTATCATTGATTCTTCCGTGAGAAGAAATAAAGATCGGGAATCCACTTCTACACACAAAAAGTTTGGTACTCGTTCTGACCTTATATGGAGGGATGTGAGACTACCTGAAACTGATTGGGCTGTAGCAGAAGCAGCAAAGGCTTGGTGCCCCAAAGTATATTTCAGAGAGCAAGTTTAAACTTCCAAGACAGCTTCACGATATACTCATTGGTCGGTCCATGGAGGTGGGTGGAGCAAACGAGCTGAGAAAAGCCATTGTATCAGGTCTAATAATTGGAGGTAATAATGCTAGCACTGTAGCACGTTTTAACAGTTTTTATTACAGGCATTAACAAATTGCTTATTTCATTAGGTCCGTGCATCCAATGGTTAAGCCTTTGCTGGGGTGCAGCAGGGGACAATGTTACGATTCTTGTGAAGATGGAGTCAAACAGGCTACATGCTAAAATTAGCTCCTTATCAAACTCTATATTTGCCATTCATGATCTGTTATTATTCCGGGTATGTTTTCACTTAGTTGTTGTATCTGATGAGGAAGCGACTTTATTAATGGCATGAACTTCTCTGGATATAGACATCAACCATGCATCTAATGGCAGAATACGAGTTGGCAGAAAAGCGGTTTACAAGTCGTAAGAAGAAAGAAGGTCGTATTAACCCTCGAATGCTATGCTGGAGCCAAAAGTCTCTTGGCGTAACTTGTTGCAGTCATAATATGATTTCAGCATCCTGGCCCACCATTTTTTTTTTTTTTTTTTCACTCAGTGTGTATGCATGGAAACATGTGTCAAAAGCGTGTTTCGCCCAGGCTCGTTTTTCAAAGCAACATTGTGTCAATTTCTGTAGCACGCATGGGTTTCGACTGGTCACATCATGGAGAGGATAAAATTTTGAAAAAAAAAAAAAAAAAAAAATGGTGGGCCAGGATGCTGAAATCATATTATGACTGCAACAAGTTACGCCAAGAGACTTTTGGCTCCAGCATAGCATTCGAGAGGTTAATACGACCTTCTTTCTTCTTACGACTTGTAAACCGCTTTTCTGCCAACTCGTATTCTGCCATTAGATGCATGGTTGATGTCTATATCCAGAGAAGTTCATGCCATTAATAAAGTCGCTTCCTCATCAGATACAACAACTAAGTGAAAACATACCCGGAATAATAACAGATCATGAATGGCAAATATAGAGTTTGATAAGGAGCTAATTTTAGCATGTAGCCTGTTTGACTCCATCTTCACAAGAATCGTAACATTGTCCCCTGCTGCACCCCAGCAAAGGCTTAACCATTGGATGCACGGACCTAATGAAATAAGCAATTTGTTAATGCCTGTAATAAAAACTGTTAAAACGTGCTACAGTGCTAGCATTATTACCTCCAATTATTAGACCTGATACAATGGCTTTTCTCAGCTCGTTTGCTCCACCCACCTCCATGGACCGACCAATGAGTATATCGTGAAGCTGTCTTGGAAGTTTAAACTTGCTCTCTGAAATATACTTGTTGTTTTGGGGGCACCAAGCCTTTGCTGCTTCTGCTACAGCCCAATCAGTTTCAGGTAGTCTCACATCCCTCCATATAAGGTCAGAACGAGTACCAAACTTTTTGTGTGTAGAAGTGGATTCCCGATCTTTATTTCTTCTCACGGAAGAATCAATGATAGTCTTTTCTCCTGGAATCACAAAACATCCAGGTATATCCTTAGCTAAACTGGTGCATACGCCCCATGCAGATTTCATCCACCAATGCTCTGACAACTTATCATGCAAAGTGAACGGTGAAGGGTTGTTCATTTCGTATATGCTTAGCCTGTAAAATTAAAAAAAAAAAAAAATGGAGGTTCAATAGCAACATCCAAAAAATAAATCAAAAACAGGGTATTGCGACTTACCAGTTATAGAGACATTCGTGAATTAAACGACATTCGACATGC